GAGAGAGAGAGAGAGAGAGAGAGAGAGAGAGAGAGAGAGAGAGAGAGAGAGAGAGAGACATGAAACAAAAATAAAACGTCGTCAGCGAGTGTTGCTGTGCTGCACGGCGTATATATATATATATGTATATATATATATATTCTTTGGTTATGGTAGAATATATTCTCTCTAATTCTTCTTCTCCTCTCTTTGCTTTGCTCTTCCCCATTGTTGGGGTATTTTGTTTTGCGGACCTACTGTATGGATGCGTCTTTTTACTATGGTTACGGCAGAATTTGTGTTGGTAATTTTGGCACCCTTGTCTGCATCCTGGTTCGTTTCGTGCCGTTGTTCGGCTTATGGTAGGGTGTCCGTAGCGGTGATTTCATGTGGGACCTGTCATCCGGGTTTTTTAATCCTTTTGGTATCCTAGTTGGTTGTTTCCCGTTGTTCGGCCTTGGTGTGATGGGGCGGTGCTTTTCTGTGGGAATTGTCATCTGGGATTGTCTTTTTTGTTTCTTTCTGCCGTTGGTGGCGTCCCAGTATTTTAGTTTAGAACAGCGAAGGAGCAGAAAGCTTGAAACGATGTCAGGCGGCCACAAGCAGTGCGCCGCCTGAGATCTGCAGTTTTGGGACTTAGACTCAGGGACAAGTCCGTGTTTTGACGGTACTCTGGTATGACCTGGCAACAAAAATTAGGGGAACTCGGGGCGCCCCTGATTTTGGGCACATTGAACTTTACGAATAACCCTCAGAAATGGCAAAATGGGTAGCCGCTCCCGGCATATCTAGGAACCGTTATTTCAGCCCGATCCAAGGCTAGGCCTCGAATGGCCGGCCACAAGGGGGCATCGCGGGAACAGACCTCGCCGTGACTTTTTTGCAGCATACGACCGGGGCCGAAATGGGGCCTCAAGTTTTTGTCTAATTTAGTACCATAATTAAGAAAGGGGGAAGGGATTAAGACTAGTAGGGGAGAACGCAAAAACATAAAGTCCCTTAATTTCTAAATTTTTCACGGCATTTAATTCTAGGGGGAATACCCTTGTTATTTTATGTTTCCGGCAATGAAATTGAAAATGGGGAGAAGACTAAAAATGAAGAAGGGAAAAGGGAAACGAAAGAATTTCAACTACTCCTTTTTAAACCCTTCGGGAATTAATTTTTGAGAATTTGCGATTATTATGCTAATTCGGACAATAGAATTAAGAAAAGAGAAGGGTAATTAAAAAGTGAGCAGACGAACAAAAATTRATGATTACTCGATGCATGCTCTGACTTCGCATTGATTAACCGCCGCTGGGGCGGAACCCAGATCTGATCGAATTCTCTGAACTCTAACCTTTTTTTAACTATCCCCTGAGGATCGAGGTTTCCCGTGTCGCCTTTCCGGTTTATTTGATTATGATTACTAACCTCACTTAGTTAGCCCGTAGTCGCATGGACGGCGTGGGATGGTGCTACCTTGGACTGACAGGATGGCATTTGGCATGGTACGGATACGTGGCTCGGAGACACTCGGTATTGTTGCGAACTGGCTACGTCCTACGGTATTCGGTGTGAATCTGGTTCGGAATGGGCTCGGCGGCACATTGCTTCAGGCTTGGGGCCGCTAAGGTGACTTATTTCTGGGTGGGCGGCCACGATGGAGATTTATTATCAGGTTCGGGACCTTTCTCGTAGAGTACTTCCAGGCCCGGCGCCACTATGACGGTGTATTTCAGGATCGGTACTTTCACGGCATTGCTGCACAAGTACGGTATTCGGCGTTGGTGACGGCACAGGCTGCTGTAATTCAGAGAGGTCAGGTTCGACTCTGGTATGGTGACAAAAAGCTGGCATGACTACGGGTCCCGCATTCTTGGCGTCGGTACGATCACTGGTCCGGTCCGGTGCTGATATTTTGACACGGTATCGAATTAGGAATGGGTTTGCCTTGGTATGTTTTGACTTGACGTGGGCCTGGGATGTTGGTTCGGTGACGGTATAGCACACTGTGGCCTGGCCCTGTTACCTCGAGAGGTCCAAGGCTCGGCTTTGATATGACCACTGCGGCTTGGCACCGCTAACCTTGTCAAGATACTTGGTATACTTGGGCTGTTGGAACGGCATTGAGTCTGGGACTACCGCAGTGCGCTACTTTATCTTCGRCTYGATTTTGAACCGACCTTTTTCACTTYACGACTCTATTTTGGTATGGTAGCAGGTTCACTACAGGCTCGAGACTTGTGTGSCTGGGACGACGCCTGCACCTCAGTTCACGACTGTGGCTGGATGGGTTTATTACTTTGGAACGATCTCGGATCCGATACTGGCAAGACACACTTCCGGCTCAAGTACGGTAATTGGCCTCGGTAGGGTAAGGCTGCTGGTCCGGCGCAGGTATGGAACCGGGGTTTTGTTTTCATTTCTCAAGCCCTGCAGTGACGCGCAAGTTACCTGCGAAAATTGGTGTTGCTCCCGCTGCTGGGCCGTTGGGCCCTAAGTGAATCCCACTGCACCGGCGTTGAGCCAAAGAGCTTGAGTTTGCGAGAGCCCTCGGTCTGCTGTGACCTGCGGACTGGGCTGGTGTTCACATATAGTCTGACCAGTGAGGCATTGGGGACAGGAGGGAAGACCAGTACGGGGGACATCAGACGGGCGCGCAAGGCGTACCCAGCCCACAACCATGGCGTTCGAGATACAGTCAGCGTGAGAGCTGCGTGA